GGTCGCTGATTATCGCGGCTGGTATCCCGTGCAGTCGAACGACGGCTGCGATGAACAGGCGAGCGGTTTCTTCGGCTGAGATCGATTTCTTGCACGCAGCGAAGTGTGCCATCTTCGTCAACCTGTCAACGACGACCATAACCGCGTCGTTACCCCCAGGGTTCGAAGGTAACCCTGTGACGAAATCCATGGTAACCTGCTGCCAGGCGCGCTCAGGCGGTGGAATCGGCTGCAACTGACCCGCCTTTCTTTTTCGCGAGCTCTTCATCACCTGACACGTAGGACACGAGCCCACGTGGTGCTGTACGTCGGTCAACAGCTCCGGCCAGTAGTAATACCGCTGCAGTTGCTGTCGCGTTTTTTCTACCCCGAAGTGTCCTAAGGTAATCCCGTCGTGTGCCTCCTGCAGTAACAGTTCCCTCAGTAGTGAGTACGCGGGTACCCAGATGCGATTGGTGCCTGTTTTTACGTAATAGACTCCTCTGGCCTCTGCCAGTTGCTGTGAATTTCCGGTCGTGAAAAATGGGTCGGTACTGTATCCGTGGGTGAATAGGCCTGTTAACAGTGGGTTGGTTTGGGCGAGTAGGATGGCGTGGAGTTGGGCGGTGGGGCGTGTGAGTGCGTCGGCGATATTGGATGCGCCTTTTTTGTACGTGACCGTGTAGTGGAAGTTGGACTCCAGGTAGTCCAACCAGCGGATCTGTCGTGGGTTGAGATTTGGTTGGGCGCGAAGGTACTGTAGAGATCGGTGGTCTGTCCGTACTGTCACGTCTGCTCCCGTGAGGTAACATCGCCACACCTTGAACGCGTGCACGATCGCCAGCATCTCGAGGTCGTGTATCGGGTAGTTGCGTTTGGGCGGGTGAAGCTTGCGGGACTCGTACGCGATTGGCTGGAGGCCGTTCCCGAAATCCTGCAACTGTACTGCTCCCACGGCGATGTCACTAGCGTCGGTGACGAGTTCGAACGGACGGTGCGGATCTGCGATGTGAAGCACGGGCGGTGAGCACAAAATATTTTTGAGGGCCGAGAAGGCAGCTTGCTCTTTCTCCCCCCACGTGTACTCAACCCCCTTCCTCAGCAGGTCGGTCAACGGGGCAGTCAGCTTCGCCATGTCGGGGACGAACCGGCGCACGTAGTTGACGAACCCCAGAAAACTCTGCAACTCGGTCAAGTTGGTCGGCGCGTGCCATGGTTGAATCGTCGCGATCTTTTCGGTCTATTTCCACTCCTGCGGCTGAAATAATGTGTCCCAAAAACTCCAGTCGGTCCTGTAAAAACACACACTTAGACGCTTTGGTCAGTAGGCGGTTCTCACTCAGTATCTTAAAAACTGCTTCGATGTCCTGTAAGTGCTGTGCTCTGTCGGGGCTGTAAATCAGTATGTCGTCAAGGTACACGATGACGCACTTATCTAAAAGCGGGCGGAAGGCTTCGTTCATGGTCATTTGAAAAGTGGCGGGGGCGTTGGTCAGTTCGAACGGCATGACGGTGTATTCGAAGGATCCGTAGCGTGTTCGGAAGGCTGTCTTGGGGCTGTCGGGTGGGTTGATGTGAATCTGGTGGTAACCTCCTCGAAGGTCGATTTTCGAGAAAACCCAGGTTGTGCGCAGTTGGTCGATCAGTTCGTCGGCTCGCGGGATGGGGTAACGGGATTTTATGGTAACCCTGTTCAGTGCTCTGTAGTCGATGCACATGCGAAACCCCCCGTCCTTATTCGGTGTGAACAGTATCGGTGCTGCGAAGGGCGACGAACTAGGGCGAATGAATTCCTTCTCGAGCAGATAATCCAGCTGCTTCCGTAATTCGTCCAGTTCGGGTTGGGTGAGTTGGAACTGTCGCTGTACTGTTGGCTGTGCCCCCGGTTCTAGTTCTATCCTGTGGTCGTGCGGTCGCTGAGGTGGCAGTCCCGTCGGTAGGTCGTCCGGGAAAATGTCACTGTACTGCTTCAATAGTGCTGCCACATCACCCGGTACGTCGGCTAGCAGTTTCTGTAAATCCCCCCCTTTGTCTGCTGCCTCGGCTTCCCGAATGTCAACCGCGTACACGTCAGCTCCTGCCGCTACGGTGCATTTCATCGTGATCGCGTTGACACGCACCGACGAAGACTCAGGCGAGCCCCAGCGAGGTAAGGCGATGTTGTTACCGTTCACTCGCACAGTGCAGTCACCCGTCGTCCAGTCGATTCGCGGATTGTGTCGTCGCAGCCAATCACGACCGAGTAAAATGTCGGTTCCGTCGAGGGTCGTTGCAAGCATTTCCTGGCTAAACGTGAAGTTACCCCCGCATCGAATCCGAACTCGGTCCACACGTTCCCGTATCGCCAGTGGCGTGCCGTCGACCAGTCTTGCGTCTATCTCAGGTAAACATCTGTCCAGTGGCAGTCGCAGTTTTCGTGCTGTGGCAGTGTTGATAAGGCTGTGGCTGGCCCCTCCGTCTACGAAGATTTTAACTAAGTCTGTCCCGATTTTCCCACTAAGCAGTATAGGGCTGTCTACCGTAGTACCCTCCTTATTCGGCCGGGTGTGGTCGATTGCGTGAACCGGCACAATCACTCGGTGAGGGTCGGTTGGGTCGGGCGAGCGGCGTGACCTGTCAGTAGAGGGCTCGTCTGCTACTGACTCCCAGCGTTTCCCTGCTGCTTGGTTTGTTTCTGCTGCTCAGCTTCCCCCTTTCCCTTAGCATTTTCTGGGCATTCGCTCTTACGGTGTCCCGGCCGATTGCACGCAAAGCAGCGCCCTTTGAATGGTGCGGCAGCGGCATTTGCGAAGACGGCACGTATCGTAGCGCCCTCGTTCGTCCCACGAGGCCGATGTCCCCAATTGCTGCTTCCGTAGGACCCCGGTCTCGGTCGGCGGAAGAAATCGAGCTTCTCCACCATAGCGAGAATTTCTTGAAAGTCGGTGACGCCGCGAAGCTGGATTTCCTGAGCGATGTCCTGCTTCAGGCCGCCGATGTAGCGGTCGATGCGCTCGCTCTCGTGCATGTATCCCACCTGCTCGCATAGCGCCAGAAATCCGCTCGTGTAGTCCTGGACGAAACCGAGTTGGCGCCAAGTGCGGAGCCTCTGTCGCGCTGCGATCGAAGCCGCGATTGGCTCGAACCGAGCGCGCAGATCTGCGCACCACGCGTCCCACGTGCGATACTGGGGCACCTCCACAAAATACGACGGCGCCCAGGGTCCGGTTTGTCCTTCCCGTGTCGGTAGAGTCGCGTAGTCCACCGGCTTCGTGACGATGACACGCCACCAGTCCATGGCGGGTCCTCGCAGCAATGACACGGCATAGCGAATCTTCGCCGTATCCTCCGAGACGTAGTTCGCGTCATAGAAAACATTCAACGTGAAGAGCCACGCCCGAACGGTAGGACCACCCCGCTGACTTGGGTCAAAGCATGGCGGACGCTGCGGCTTCAGCGGCATCGGCGACGGTAGAGCTGATTCGCCGGCCGGCACCGAAATAGTGACTCGAGGCTGATTCCTGGCCGCGTTCGTCGCGACGGGGTGTGTCGTGCCGTGGTCGTCGTCTCCGTCGTGGCGGACGACGCCATCACTGGCCGCGCTCGCAGGTTGCCCCACACTTCCGTGTTGCGATGTTTGTGGTGCGGGCTGTATCGGAGTGCCAGGTGCTTGGGACTGTGTTGGGCGAGGTCATTTTGCAGGGAGGTGCGTTCCGCCGTTAATGCCGCGATTTCTTCGGAGTTTTCGTGCAGTTGTCGCAGCAGCTCGACCATGCGGTCCTGCGTGAGGCTGGTGACATCGATATGCTCTGCTATTCCGAACGGCGTCGGCTCGTCTTAGTCTAGGCGCAGTCGTGGCTGCTCGCGTTTACGAGAGAACGCGAGGACAGCGGCTCCTAGGGGCTAAGGTGCGTGAGTCCCTTCGAGTGAAAAAATCAAAAGTTGATTTCCTGGGGTGCGGAGATGCGCGGTCCGAAAAGAAAGAGGCTCTGAATACCAAGTGTTACGGGTGCAATGAATCGAAGTAGCGAGAATTGCACTAAGGTGTCAAACGAGTACAAAAATGTGAGCGAAGGCATGAGCGAACATTTATACGCGAAACATGCAAACGGTAACGCGGTGCGTGCGAGCTAGCTAGTGCTACGCTGGCAGCGAGGCTCGGGCTAGCCCCGAAGCGTAGGCCGACACGGCCAGGCCAGCAGTGCGAGGTTTGGTGAAACAGTGCGCGCGAAGTCGGCGAAGCCCCGTTAGCAGTAACGGGCGAACAACGGCTGCTGCTGTACGCGATGTTGCAGGGCGCGCTAAGGAATATCGAGAAAATTCCGTATCGACAAAATGCATACATTTTGTCAATTAATGTGTTACTGTCATCCCCAAAATGTTTCTGACCCTAGCCTGACCCACCTTCCGGCCTGACCCAAGCCTGTCCTGTAAATGCCCCCAATGTTTCTTTGGGGTCAAATTGGGGTTAGTGGTCAGAACCGGGTCAGTTTTGGGTCAGTGAGTTTTTTTACCCAAAAGTAACCTGCCCCTCACAGCCCGTATGGATCTGGAGATGCGGGTTCGATACTGGTCGCTGGCAGTTCTATACTCCAATTCCTGCCCCAAACCTAACCCAACGTCGATCTGACCCGAATCTGTCCCAACCCACCATACCCACATGTTCCTTGGGCGCCCGGGTTCGATTCTCGCCAAGTAACAGGGAAACTGAAAACCTGTTATAAGCCGCTCCACGATGGACAATGTCTAGAAGCCCTACCACGCATGATGGTGTACCAAAACATAAACACTACATACAGTAACAACGTCTGGTCTATAACACAGTGCGACACCGAAAGTACATCCGCTCAGGCAGGCCAAGAGGAGCGCATCACGGCTTCCCAAACCACTTCAGCAACCCATTGGAAACAACAGAACTACTATTGCCCAACTGCCCACAGGTTTTGCAACAAAAGTGTAGCCGTGGTTTGCCTCTTATACCGACCCCAAATGGTCCCTGTCAAGGCACGACCACACGGCCAGGGTGATGTCTTCCGCCCCCATCACTCATCAAACTGGAACCGATTCACCAACGAGAAACGGGGCTCTGTGAAACACGGGACAATGTGGGCAAGGGACAGAATGCTCTCCACCTCGACAACGGCATACTCATCCTCTCCCTCCGTTGGCAAGAGCCTCACACATCCCGTCACAGTGCATGGAGCGGGATGCTCATCGAAGTACCGCACCACGGCGCGCCTGTGAAGCGCTGCCTCGTCGTCCATGAAATGGAAGAGCATGAGGCACCGTGCGTACCACTCGCCTTCCCCCCCATCAATCGCCACGTAGCTGAACTTCCCTTCACCCGGCGCTGCCTTCACCATGTGCCCTGGCCCGCGGCCCTGGAGGCGGTCATGGGGGGGTATCGCCAGCGCGGTGTGCACCTGCATTCAACGACAAGTACGGCACCGGGCATCATGTGACGGTCCCCCTCAATCGCAACACCAAGGCACTACTGACCACCGTGTACCCCAGAAACTCCCATGACCGGTATCTTCCCCCTTGCACCCACTCATGGACGAGCCATCACCTGCACGCCTGACGCAGCGATCCCCACACGCTGCATCACCCGTGCGACCCCATCCATCACAACGGTGCCAAGCGCAGCGCAGTATTCCGCCCAGACCGGATCCTGCGCATCCCCCACCGCCATGCGCCGTGAACGACGGGTCAGCACCCGGGTGTTGTGCTTCACCGCCTGTGCACACGCACCGTACGCACGGAATGGAAAGGAGCGTAGATGAGAACCAAACATGACCTCGTGAGTTGACCGACACTACGGGACATCATTATAGACAACATGGGTTACTGAAACGGCCCGTGATCCATCCATGCATGACCCAAAAAAACTCACCGTGCGCATGGCCGTCTCGTACGTCCTACCCCCCTCTTCCCGACCCAGGCCCCTGATTGCCTCGTTGCGTGCGTGGCGAACTGCAATGTCTCTGCCCACGTCCCGCCAGTTCGAGTTCCGTGCAGGCCATTTGCAGCATCGCTTATGCATGGCCTCGTAGGTGTTGGTCGATTGCTCGGACGGGATGCCATGCATCCTGATGGCGTGCGGAAGGTGCCGGAGAAGGTGCACCTTCGGCAGCCGCCACTGCGACGACTGCTTGGGGAAGACGAGCTTCAGCTCCGCGACCAGCCTGCGCAGCATCGTACAGCAGCGCGTGACAGGTATGCCTAATGATGACACGGGACATTGGAGGGAGTGGCCTTATAGCCAAGGGCTTGGGAGAAAGATGCATCAGGGGCCGGTGCGGGGCAGAGCGTGTCTTGTGAGGCATGGGCTCGAGGTGCAGGGGCATGGTTGAGGCACGTGCCAGCCAGGCGTGTGTATGCCAAACCCGCTTACACAAGGGTCTTCCTAGTTGCATCTTGAAGAGACGCCTCCGTGTGATACGCCACGCGGAAATACGCGCGGTACCACTCGTTGAAGAGGATGACCACGCGGGCAATGTCCTCGTGGCCAGGCAGGTGAGCGACCAGCGGGACAATCTGCATCATGGCCCGGTGCTCCCAGGCAGCGTACATGGACACCGTCCCAAAGTATGCCGATGGGTCCGGATGCCGGAGAAGAGACGGTGGCGTCACTGCCATGACCGCCTCGCACTGGCTGCAGCCACAAGCATTGCAACGTCATAGTCAGTCATGAGCAAACCCGCTTCCGACCGCTCAATGTGACATCCAACGTATACGGCACCACACCACAACCCCACAAGAAACCCGCACAACGTACCTTAGAAGAAGGAGCTGCTCGGTGGGGGTTAGTTTAGCCACAAGGCATCGCATGGTGTGCAGCCACACCCCCTCGTCCACCACGTGCATGATGCATATTCCGATGACCTCGTAGAGGTTCCCCCATGGTGTGTCTACGTGCGCCCATTCCCACAGTGCGCACTGCCAAACCGCACGCGTGGAATGCGGTTATCTCCGCGCGAAATCGCGAACAAGCAGTTGTGCCAAAAATCGTTCAACTGGAAACCCCCCACACCGAGCCCCCAGGGTCACTCACCTTCACAAAGTGTGTGCACCATGCAGACTTAACTCTCTTGCGCTTCTTCGGGTTGGTACCCTCGATGCGCTCGTACACGTCCTTCTGGCCTTTCACGGTGCGTGTGGTGCTCTCCAGAGTCAGATCCGCCAGGTCCCACTTGCTCACGAGGCACATAGAGCAAGGTTGGTTCGACGTGGCTGCCCATGTGCATGTCACCATGCACGACTCGGTGTGGTCGCACACGTACTTGCTCAGGAGTGGGAAGACCCTTTGTTTCCGCCCCAAATGATCGGTGACCATGATTCCCCCACTGCGCAAGACGGGGCCCGGAGGAGAGTATAGACAAGTGTGATCATCGGGTTTTTCAACTCACCCCGGCATGGGACACTACACCGCTTACGGACGGCACCGCCCAATCGCTTTGGGCGACACGTACCTCTCGACTGATGATGCCATCATGAGAGGGCCTAGTACGAGCCGCAGCATCTCGTGCATGAGCTCCGTCTTCTGCTCGGGTGTCAAGGCTGCGGGTAGCGGGGGGAAGAGTGCTACCATCTCCACGCCACCTTCCAGCCATCGGCTGGCCTCGGGAATGTTTTCCAGCGAGAACATCATCGGGTGAGCCAGCTGCCTCCCATTAAATGTCAGATGGGTCGCATCACTGAACAGAATCACCGCTGCCACTATACCGGCACCCCTTAAAGCCTCCTGTAGGGCATGGGTCGGACAGAGACGGAGTTGTGGTTCAGCAACCCACCCTGCGTCTGCTCACCCTCCCAGGAGAGCAAGGGTAGCGACATAATGACAGATACAAACTTACCCATGCACTCCGAAACCAATCGCATTCCACAGTGGCCCCGTAACGTCTCTCGTCATCCACCTCCACCGTCCGTGGTTTCGTCGTGAACCCGGGGACCCGGGACATCTTCTCCCACATCCTCAGCAGAATCTGCGTGGTGAAGGGCAGCGCAATCATCAGCACACCAACGGGGCAATGTGGCAGAACTGTGGACTGTCTCTAACCTCTATGCCGCAAAACTCACACCAACGAGAGGCCGAAACCGAAACGTCACCTCGCCCAGCCCCTCCTGCAGCTCCAACACGCGTATCTCCCATTCCTCGCCATATGACAGGTACTCTTCCTCGAACCGTTCGAGGTCCCGATATGTCTGCCACAAATCCACCTCTGATGGGTCCCTGTTCCCAGCTTTAAGTAACTGGATGATGTCGGTTATGGCCGCATTAGGCAAGAAATACGTACGCACAATGCGCGCAATTTCAAGCCTAAAGTCCCGACTGACACCCGCCTCCGCCTCGTCCTCCGACTCCCCCGATGCAACAGACGGAGCTGACTCTGCTGATGACGACGCCTCCCCGTCAAAGCCATTGGCGTCCTCCTTGTCGCGATCGCGAGCCGTGCGGGGCTCGAATGGCGCGTCAATGCGCCGACCGGATGCGTGCACGATCGTGATTAACGGCGGCCGATAGAATCGGCCATACGAAATGCCTAAGGCAGCAAGGCGGTCCTGTTCGTACAGGCATTTTTTGTTCCTACGCTGATGTCTACGTATCCCACCGTAGCTTTTCAGTAATTTCTCGCAGAAACAGCATGTCGCGTACGGCATAGTATACGGGTCCCCCCTCGGAACATGACTCACATGGCCGTCACGTAGACGAAGGCGTGCGTGCAAACGCACTTTAAATCCACGCGGTCCACTAACGTTAGGGTTGCTGTGGCGCCTACGAGCGCTAGCGTAGTGAACAAGGCGTAAACTGCGTTAGGGTTTCACCGCATGCCAGCCCTCTCGATCTCGATATAGGGGTAAGTGGCAAAAGTGTGTGTTTATGTAATTTGATGAGTAACATATAATACGATGACGATTAATGCTTAAAAAAAATGCCTGAGACGCCACTGAGTTTCACGCATATCGCCACCCCATATACGATTCACGCCATGACCACTATCATACTGGCGCCAACACTATGGTATGTTCTGTCAAAAGTGTCCCCTTGGCGGCTATGTCAAACTTTCAAGGACACCTGTGCATCTTGAAGTGGGCCACCAATGGGGCCCCACCCCACCCCTAGTTGGCATAAATACTACAACACTATTAGCTCAGGATAGACAGAGTTTCTACGGCGCATCAATGTCCGTGCGTGGGCGCTTTGCGCTAGGCACTGGCATCAGTCGCTCAACAACATCGATGAACGTGATGGCAGTGTCGAAGGTCGGCAGCCTGGCCACAGCTGCAAGAGTATGACGCGTGTGGACAATCACCGACAATGTGTAAGTCCTGTGCTCTATACACCTGAAGGTTGAGTTTGCCACGCCTTACGAGCAACTCACCTCGAGCCAGTGCATCCAGACGAGCCCGAGCCCTGATCGGTAATCCCATGATGGCGTTCTCGTCCGCATCGTTTGTTCCTGCGGGCAAGAGACGTACTATGGTGAGATATCGGACGATCCCCTGAACAGAAAATGGGGTAACTGTGCCTCACCTTCCGTGGATAGGCGCATCGTAGAGGGAATGGGCAGCAGCCGCTCTACCACATCGATGAACGAGATAGCCGTCTCGAAGTTTGGCAGTCTGGCGGCAGCTGCACAAGGTGATGGGTGGGATGCGCGAATTAGCATGGCTTCTTACAAGGAGCACATCGGAGGGTGCCCGACAAATGACACACACATGAAACGGACTCACCCCGCGCGGCACGAGGCACATTAAGCAATACAGCTGCAAGCAGAGGCACGCTAGCCGCCTGGTGTGTACCTCCAGGTCCTGTAATGAGCACCAGGGGAGGTCAAACACTCTGGACAGAGAGCGAAATGCCCTAAGCGGCGAGGTGTGACACTCCTTGAATTAGCACTGGAAGGGCTGTGAGTTGAGTTACATGGCCCATACCTGCCATGGCACCGCAATGCGGGTGCCCATCGTGGCCCAGTGACGCTGTCCGCGGCGTTACTCCTGGCTCGGCCTGCCCATTGTCCTCATTCTTTGGCCTGGTTGCGTTGCGGTCTATTACGTCACCATGGCCCAGACCGGCCATAGATGCCGCCCCCCCTTTCTGCTCCGCTTGTTCGACCCGTGTCGCGGATAGCATCTCTCCGCCGACTCCATGCGTGGCCCCGGTCAAAGGATTTTGCTGCTGACTTCGACCATGTTTGCGATTTGGACCTGTTGGCACCGGCAATGAGGCAGCGAGAGGTGATGTCGGCTCATAAACAACGCCACGAACGACCTCCTTTTTCATGCCGATGTCCTCATCGTTAGCGCTCAACGCAACTGCCTTAGGAACTGCATTGTCCGTCATCACCGGCTTAGGTGACTTCTCGACAAGACGATACTGGCCGTCGACCCTAGTGCCTCCTACTTGTTGCTTTTCGCCCACCACACCGGGGTTTACGCGCCCCGTTGCAACTCCTGTAAGGCGGTTCGTGGGTCGGCTCGGTTGAGGATCGGTCTTGTGTGGCGCGAATCGTCCGCCGCGGAACTCCGGCGCTGGTTTGTCATTGGCAGGCTGAAGGGAGCTCAGGTCCTCCTCCGTCGCAGGAGTTTCTGTCCCGAGGTCCGGTGAGCCTGTATAAATCTGCGTCTCCGCTTCCATTAGCGCGTCCACCGGCTCCCCTAGCGCTACGGGTTCCTCGTCACCCTGTCCGTGCCCGGCGGGGTGGTTGGCGCCTATGGGCTGTGATTCTACGCCGAACCGTGGATCAGTACATTCCCATTTGTACAAGTGAGCCCGTGGATTAAAACACGGAAGTAGGAACGCACCGCTTCGATACACCTCTTCCGGCATTCCACAGAATGGGTCTTCACTCTCTCCGTCAGCGCCACCGTCGTGTACGGCGTGCCCTAACTGCTGGCTGTTGGCGCGCTGGTGTGGCCCGCTTCGTGTGGAAGCCATGGTTGTTAACCTTACTGTCGGAATCGGGGGTTGGTTTCTCGTTTGCCAAGGGTTGTAAGCCAGGTGTGCTTGACCGCTGATTAGGGTTTTGGGAACAGTGACGGCCTCTTGTCGAGCTGTTTCACCGACCTTCTTCCAAACACCCTAAACTCAACCTCGCTAATGACTACTGTTATGGCCGGTACATTTCGTGCATATATATTTATCGAAATTGCATAAACATAGCAAGTTCAGGCATGGATTACTGTCACACAAGGAGCCCGGAACATTGCCCCATTGTTCACAACGGTTTACTGTGACCTACACAGTGCTATGAAGATGAGGCGCCCATCTGCTTGGGGTACCAGCCGCTCCACTCCAAGAAATCCTCCCTAATGTCCTCCCTCCATTCTGTTGGATCACCCCACAGTGTGATCGACGATGTGTTTGCAAAAGCGGTCTCCACCATCACCTGCATATATTTCATCACGTACACACCACAGTCGTTCCCGTTCGACTGTTTTGTGACCTGGGACACAGAGTACATCACACAGATACAGAGAAATCACACAGTACAGACGCAGTCAGAGATGGGCAGCGATGTCTTGTTCTGGCGCATGTGCTCAAGTGTTAAGCGTTCCATACCTCCATGGTGACGAGCTCCACCGAATTCTCCCATAATTGCGCCTCCACGTCCGTGACAATGGGCCGATACCCAGTG